GGGGGGGGGGGGGGGGGGGGGGGGGGGGGGGGGGGGGGGGGGGGGGGGGGGGGGGGGGGGGGCGGGTGAAGGCAATCGGAGAAGGAGATAGAAACATAAACCTGCATGGAGTATTGGCGTAAAATTCATCTGCCAGTAAACCTGGGCCAATGTAAACAGACTGATTTACAAAAATCGCTAATATTTCAAGAACCACAACATACTCCGCTTTGATTCGCGCTACCCCTGGTTCATAGACGTAATCTTTCACCAGTCGCGGAAGGGATGCAGCTCCAGTTTCCTTGGGGTTTTCTTCCCGTCCGGTAGATCCGGTGCCTTCACCGACGTCTTCAGCCTTTGCAGAGTCATTTGTGGGTTCCATTTTTGTCAAATTCTACAAAATAATTATGATTAGCGGCCCATATGTCGTTACATTACAACAAAAGTGATTTCATTTCAACAGCAACACATGTGCACAGGAAGTAAATGCAGCTACAATGCGCATGCCCAGTGGTGTAAATAAAAAGTCGCTTGTGTCGTTTCCGGTCCACGACAGCACGTGTTTGTGTTTTTATTATCTTTGTAGGTCAACCATCGAAATGTAGGGACGAGAGGTTGTTATTTTCCGCCACGTGGAAAAAGGGTGAGTAAAATATATTTTAGCTGATGTTTTAAAAGTTTAGATGATCTTATAGACACTGTAAAACAAAAGGAGAAGAAGTTTTAATTAATATGGCCTGCGTTTGGACTGGATCGACGTTGACGACATGATCGCTGCAGGCTACAGCCTTGGGAAATTCTAATATCAAAGGTTATTCTATAATTCATAAGTAATATAACCATCCACGTGCATATAGCCCAGTTGTGAAATTATCTAAACTAAAAAAGTTTGTCATCTGAAACTGGGTGTTGTGCGATTTTCTGACACATCTATAGCTTTTATTATTAAAATTTAATTTTTATTAAAATCAATTTAAATCTAATTAACTCAACCGCTCAATTGCTTTGCCTCTATTTATTTTATTTATAAGTAAACCTGTATGTTTACTAGTTTTTATAAGCAGACTTGACTGATTTGTAGTTGCCATCGTTTTTTTTTTTTTTCTTTAAATTTATTTAGAGTAAATTAAGTGTACGGTTTTGATATAGTTAGGGAGCGTGACCCCCTCCCTCCCCAAAAAAGTAGCAAAAAATAGTAAAAGTACCAAAAATAATTATGGTTTTCAAAAAGACCAATTAAGACCCATTATTTTTATGTATCAGTAATAATCTTACTTAAGCAGGAAATAATATGGTAGCTATATAGTGTGGTGGTAATTCATTGATCACAATCATACTACTTTGTCAAATTATTTATTATCTCCAAGGGGGACTGTTAATAATATCAGTCTAGTCCTATACAATCTCATGCATTTCCCCTTGTAAATTATCTCATATTCTAGCTGGTGTTGTCAGAGAAGTAGCATATTATCTTCAGATACTGTATAAAGACAAATTTAATAAGCTTACTGTGGTACTCCATATATAATCAATATATATAAATTAACCAGAGGTCAGCTGATCGAGTGATAACGTACGTCATTTCTGTGCAAATTATAACTCTCACTAGTATTGCACAGTATAGACATTTGCAAAGAAGTAGCCAGAGAAATATAGAGAAATATCTAGAGGAAAAAATATATTTGTGGTCCTGAAAAAATTGGATAAGCTTTAGTTTCAGGTGAGAGTTAATTAGTAGAGGTTTAAATTAACTTCAGATGAGCAGATGCACCAGCAGCCTTTAGTGAACTTTGACCTTTATTTGAACAGGAAACCTGTTATGGCATTTTTTGCAGGACCGGACCCACCTTTTGCCATAGGGATTATCAGTTTATTTTCAGCTACTTTAGATATATATGTAAAAAAAAACAAACCAAGTATTCATGCAGGCATATTCAGCTCACAATTCCTATCTTTCAATTCAGTAGCAGCTAACATAAACTGATGTCTGGCATAATCGAGCTATTTCAAACAATATATTAAAACATTATCTAAAATTGATATTTGTCAACATGTACAGATGCTATGTTAAAGTTTGAGCTAGCTAGAGGTGAGGAATATCTTCAGGAATTTTCATGCATGTGGTTGGTCTTTGGTTCATTTAAATTTACTTACTGACAGAAGTCTTATCTGTTTTGTTCCAGTTTTGTTTCTGTTGTCCCTACAATTAGGATTTACTTATAACAGTAATAAGAATTATACTTGAGATTTACTGATGAAACCCTCTTTGGTGTCTCAAAGGGTTATTTCCCACTAGTTACATAATTACCCACCAAAAAGTCAGCAGATTCACACATTTTGTGGAGGACCTGAGCAACTAAAAAGAAAAGAAAAAATGAAGTTACATAAAGACTACTGAAATAAATGCCCATGCATTCTCTGGTCCAAGAGGAAAGAGCATTTAAAAATGCTTAATAGAAATGCTACTGAAATAAATGCCCATGCATTCTCTGGTCCAAGTGGAAAGAGCATTTAAATTAAAATGCTAATAGAAAATGAAAGTGTAGAAATTAGTGCAAGGCCCACTAATTAACAATTACAAACATTTAGTCTGAAACATACATATATAACATATTATCATGCAGATACTGCAAACAGTACTATTTTAATTTTGTTCTTCTACGTACTACACATCAACATGGACTTCTCACTCATGCTATAATATAAGGTGCTGTTTGTTTAAGGCCTTGTTTTTTACATGTGTTATATAATGGGACACTACTGTGGAATTTCCTCTTAAGGCTGGGGTCCTTTTCACATGGAGGGGTACATTTAAAGCTGGACCGATACACTTTGAATGATTGACAACTGAATAGCCTAGCTACTATGTAAAAGTCTAAACTAAATAGAGCTCTCTTCCCCAAAGCCCCTACTCCTCCCTCCCCCCCCCAAAAAAAAAAATTAACGAACTGCACTGGACATCGCAGAGCAATTTATTAACTACTAGTAAACAGCAGAAAGCAAAATTGTGGAGAATTTGTGAAAGGGAGTAAATGCAAAATGTTATGACTACTCAAAGTAAACCTTTACAGTTAATTGTAGTTGTTTCATGTGATAATTAAGACCCTGTTGCCATACACCATCAGTCCACATAGATCGATCCAACTCTGCATGGACTCTTGCTGAGTGCAATCAGCTTAACTTAATGAAATGCCTCCTTTTGTTTCCAATGTACTTGTAAAATCACCAGTTTTTTTTAAATATCATGTATGTCTAGTATTGTACGCTGCAATATTGGAAGTTGGGCATAGGCTGGGAAGGGGGGGGGGTTGAAGGTACACTCAAACCATCCTTTTTGAAAAGAAAATATCAGCTCTGAATCAATTTAATGTTCTGTGAACACACTTCAGCAAGTTTTTGTGGAAAAAGCCCCCTCCCTTTATCATTATTATCATTATTACTATTATATATTTTTTTGAAAACAAGATCTTCATTGCCACCTTCTTTGAAATTGATGGCTGATAATAGTACATTGTATGACAGTAAATGATACAACTTAATTTGGTGCTTTTCTATAAGAGCTTCATGTATCACCCAGAATGAGATCGATGCAAATATTATATCTTAATATATTGAAAATGCTTACATATGCTGAAAATAGCACATTAATATTAGGAGCGTACCAGCATAAATGCTATAAATCATTACGTGCAGGTTGACCCCAAATGTAGGTAAACCAACATACTAATTCTACACAGAGCTGATATATTTATGTACTGCATATGTACACTGCATATATACTGAACTACCTACAGAACATGTATAGCTTAGACTGATATTTCTTATGGATATATGCTCGTCAGCAGTGGATGTTCTACACAAATCCAATAATTGACAGAGGTAACAGTTTTTGTCAATAACCACTCTCAAGTTTGTGTCAGTCTGACTTAATATGAAATTTTTATTAGGAGATGCCAGATGAGTGAATGTAGTACAGTGAATTAATTCCCCAAGATTTGAATATACACTGTACATGTAGTATGTAGTATGTATTCTGTGTGTGTGTGTGTGTGTGTGTGTGTGTGTGTGTGTGTATGCTACATGTGTGCTCAGAAATGCAAGTGTATGTTGTGTGTGTTGTGCATTAGGTAAGTTAACAGTTTCATTAAAAAGGTGTGGAATTAAGTGCAGTGTGAGTAAACAGGATTTAAATCTTATATATATATATATATATATATATATATATATATATATATATATATATATATATATATATATATATATATACTTATCTTGGATATATCATATTAATTTGGGTTTTGATAATTTTTTAGCTAACAAAGAATTTGGACCAAAAATGTTCAATTTGTGAGTACTTAAGGAACAACTAGCACTGAAGTGCCTAAGCTTGACATTTTATTTAAATTTACACTTTGAAAAATAAAAATACTTCATTTAATGAAACAAGGCATTTATACTTACAAACAAAATAACCATAAAATAGAGCAAAAAATCTATTCATAATCCTCTTTTTATTTCCTCAAAAATCTGTAGTTGATAATACATATCTTATATCCTTATATAAAGTACTTAGACAAAACGGGTCTTTTCTTGCTGAGTTTTGAATAATACACTATGTTTAGGCTTTATGTTATCTTTTATGAAAATATGAATCCAAAATAACTGTAGTCAGTAAGTACAAGTATATACATCATTGTAACAAATGACACAGCTGGCTTGCTTAATACAGGTGTAGGTAGAAATATGTGGCTGCTTCAACTGTCAGGTGCTTTACTCACTTAATCCATTGTTGTCTTCAAAAGAATTTGACCTTGGTCATGTGCACCAATTCTTATAAAAACACAAAGGTTGTGCTGTGTGTTATTTTGGATAAAGAAGAGGAGCATCCAAAGTGATGTACAGGTAGAGCGGTGAAATTAATAAGTTTGTCATCATCTTTTTAATGTGTGATGATCAAATGGAGAAAGGGTCTTTGTTTCTGTGATCAATTAAGGCTCTTAGATGTGGAGACAAAACACCGCGGCTCGTAGTTAAAGGTAAAAAAATCCCGTTTTGTCTCTTTGACAACAATTTCCATTTTAAGTCTTAAGGATTTTTAAATTCATTTCCGTGGTTGGATCCATTTATATTATACCAGTACATTAAAATGTAGTTTTACATTTAGTTTCAGGATAGAGCCGACTGAATGAGATCTCATCTGGGCAGTTTTGGAAACGCGCTGGTATTTTGGTAAAACTGTACACAGAAAATGGCAACAGCGTTGGAAGAAGAGGTTCGGCAGCATCACCTGGGCGTGACATTTTTCTACCTTGCTGTCACAACTTTGCTGGGACATCTTTTACGAGGCGTCACCAGGAGATACATTCCTGCTCCTTACCGCTCCGTATTATTAGACTGCATTTCCACGCTACAGCTCTGTTCCTGTACATGGGAAAATGGCTTCACTTTTAGAACACATGGATTTTATGCACTGTTGTTCCAGATCTTTTGTCTGGTGAACTTGTATAAGTATTTTTTCTACGATTCTTCACCAAATCCCATTGCCAACCTGGCCAAGTATTTCCAGGGAGAGCGCCCTCTAGCAGTTGTTTTGGTTACCATGACACTTCAGATGCTGGCAGGTAAGAATAATGGGATGTGATTTTGTTCGAGTTTTTTTTTAAAGACTTAAAAAAAAAAACAATTGGCACCTGTTAAAAAGTTTCTGAAGTTTCTGAAAATTTGTGCTCATATTCTATGAGTCATAAAAAATTATTACAGTAACTGAAGTATTTCTGATGACTTCAATTAAATGTTATTTCACATATGCTCAGTATATGTTGTGGTTGGAGCATTTTATATTATTATTATTATAATTATTATTATTACGAGTATTGACTATTATTTCAGGACAGCTGTCTTTCTACTATGCCCAGTGTATGTGGTGGTTAGAGCTCTCTCCTGCCTATACTATACGTCGTGCAGACCTGGCTATACCTTGTGTCTCAGACCTCACGGTAAATTTGCTAACCTAAAAGATTTCACTTGAAATTATGGTGCTATATGGTTTAAAATAATCAAATTCACTTTGTTATATCACATTTATTAAAGTTTGGAAAAGTTAGTCTTTAAAAATATTTTAGTTTTTATTTCAATGGTTTCTAGCATAATTTTATGTGGACAATCATTTTTTCAACAGTTTGAACCTTACACCCCATTTCCATAGATTTTAGATCGATCTATCCCTGTGGGGAGTCTCACTAGATTACTGTCAGCTTAGCCGGCTTAAGCGTCTGTCCCGCCTACTGAAATCTGTAAGGGGGTAATTAACTATGGTGCGCGCTCGGCTGACTGCAATTTAGCTTGAACCCCCAGGGAGTTAGGTCGATCTAAATCTTAATCCCTGGATCGATCTAAATCTCTGGGAATACACCCTTATTGTTTGATCATTGAACAAATTTGAATACTAGTAAGGGAAGTGTGTTAGGTGTGCTTTGACAGATGTGAGAATGCTACGGCACTTGCAAAGGATGCTTATTTAGAAAAAACAACAACAAAAATGCTCTTGTTTATTTTTATGTACAGACACAGATGTGTCTGTACATATTGCCATCACCTGCGTCTGTCGTCGCCGATGCCGATGGCGATGCCGATGCCGATGCCGATGCCGTGCACTTTCCTTGTAAACACGATAAGTGGAGGGCAGTTTTACTTTTTGGCTTTATATTTACAGAGCTGGTGAATATTCATAAAACGCAGGTCAAGTTCGAAAATCAGCATGATCGGGTCATTATTGTAGAAGTTATGCTGTTTTTTCACTTTTCAGCATATTTTTCACATTTCCTCAGATTCAATTCTTAGGCATGTTAACAGTCTCATTATTAAACTAATAAGATACGTAAAAGTTTTTGTTTGACATTTCCTGCATCTTTACAACATTGTTAGTTGATTTTGTAAAAATGATGGTAAACTTGTTATCGTGTATTGTGTAATAAAGTTTCAAAAATGGAAATAAACTCATATCATTGCAGTTTGTCAGATTCAATCATTCACTATGTTCAGAATCTCAGAATGGAAGAAATTGGACATTTAACACTGCTCTATTGATATTTTTCCCATCTCATCAATTTTCTTAGTTTATCATATAAAAATTGCAGTAAACTGTTAATTTTGTTTTATGTTAAAAATTGTTAAAAATGGAAAGAAAAAAAAACATTTCAGAACAGTGCTGTCTTGTTTACATTTTGGCATTTTCAAGTTGTGACTTTGAAGTTCCATGGGCCTGAAGACCTTTGCTAGTCACATTTTCTGAATATCCATGATACTAATATTTTATTATTAAAAATTGATGGTCATTATGCTGTTAAACATTATGTAATATTGCATCAAAATTTGAAAAAAAACTACTTTGGGCACTGCTCCCATGATGACCATTTAAGAAAAACCATGTCACTTACTGTTCTCAAACAGTACAGTAAATATGTACAGATGTGTCAAAAATGTGTCTGTACATATTGCCATCACCTGCGTCTGTCTTCGTCGTCACCGCCGTCACCGGCGCCTTGCACTTTCATTGTAAACACGATAAGTGGAAGGCAGTTTTACTTTTGGGCTTTATATTTACAGAGCTGATGAATATTCATAAAACGCAGGTCAAGTTCGAAAATCAGCATGATCGGGCCATTATTGTAGAAGTCATGCTTTTTTTCACTTTTCAGCATATTTCACATATTGGCATTTTCAAGGTGTGACTTTGAAGTTCTACATGCTTGAAGACCCATGCTAGTCACATTTTCTGAAAATCCATGATACGTATATTTTATTATTAAAAATTGACGGTCATTATGCTGTTAACCAATATGTAATATTGCATCAGAATAGAAGAAAACAATTATGGGTGCTGCTGCCATGATGACCATTATGGGAAAACCATGTTACTTATGATTGCCAAATGTTCAAAAAAGAAATGCAGGACTAAAATGCAGCCTGGGTTGGAAAAGTAGTCTAATTGGCTTCTTTTTCTGGAAGTTATACATTTTCAAAGTGTGAACTTGAACTCCCATGGGCCTGAAGCCTTATGCTTGTTACACGTTTTACTTACATTGGTATTACCTGTTGAGCATAATTAAAATTGGATGTTGAATTTGCAGTTTAACATAATGTACTTTTGCATCAGAATTGACAGTAGCCTATTTTGTGCATAGTTATTTCCTGCTTTTTGTCTGTACATTTGACAGCTTTGCTGCCTTGTTATTCACTTACTTATGTATTAATTATCAATTATTTTTCACTCAAGATGTTATTATTTGGTCATTGTATAAAGTACAGAGGATGCTTATTAAGAGAAAATGTCTGCCCATATAAATGCCCCAAATTGTGAGGGTCTCACATATGATAATCATAGAAAAAGGTCAGCTCAACTAACTAACTTAATTATACAATCATTATTTCAGGTGACAGTTTTCCAAGGGATGCTTCTAGAAGGTGGTGGCTGCTTTATTGACCGTGTGTTTGGGTTGAAGCAGTGGACAAGGCGAGAGAGAGGCGAGCAGGTGCTGCAGGCATTACTTGGAACTTTACTGACAGGAGCAGGTAGGTAGACGCTAACAACAAGGGAGTACTCGATGTTGACCTCTCTCTCTCTCTCTCTCTCTTCTTTTCTAGATAGACTGTTGCAAGTCATACTCTCTCTATCCCTATCTCTCTCTCTCTCGACACAAAATTGACTTGTATCAGTGGATAGCTGCTCAGCTAATGTTTATATTTTCATTCTTTCTGCCACAAATAAACTTCATTTTATTGTATTGTGTGAAGATTATGTGTATGTCTGTTGATTAGCATGTTTTAAACAACTGAAAATTTGTTAATGTGTTTGTGTGTGGGGGGGGGGGGGATAAGAGGGGTCTTCGACTAGAAGGGAAATGGAAAAACAATAACTAAAAATGTTTGGGATTATAAATAACTAGTAAATTGGGTCCACATATATGATTTAAAAAAATGAAGTGGTGAAAAAGAAATCCCTTCGTTTGTTTTGTATCTATGAAATAATGTGATATTTATGTTCACAGGGTTGACACTGACAGGGATGTATATTAACCCTGCCAATGCCTCATCTCAGGGTTTTGGCTGTGCTGGGAGCTCTTTGATTGGGCACATCTTGGTCTACTGGATAGCGCCATCTATAGGATGTTATTTATCTGTGCAGATCAAGAAAAGATACTTCCACAATGAAATTGTTCATTTTGTCCATGGTTCCTGTGAAAATACGAAGGAAGACAGAAAGTCTGTTTATGAAAATGGTGTGTCACACAAAAAGAGTGATTAGGGTTATAAAAATATGCATTTGAACGATTGTTTATATTTGCAATTTTTATGGAATTTCTGACTTACATGTAGAATAAAACTGAAATTAATTATTGATAGTAAAGAATACCAACATTTACTTATTGTTTCTTTCTTTAATTTTTTATTTGTTCCTTGGGTTAGATATGAATACTTCATTATCTTTAATGACTGTGTAAGCAATGTTTAATGCGATTTTGAAAATATTTTAATATAGCATTTATGGCACTTCGTACTGATTGATGTTCAGTATATTTTCTTGTTGGTCTTTTTATATATGATGAAATTTGACTTAAAATTTTGCTGTGGGCTTCAATGAATTTTTAACTTGATAGAAAAAAGCATGATTGAAATGTATTTTTGTGTAGTTTTTAGCTCAACATTTTTTAAATTTAGAGATAAATATGACTTATTTTTGTATAGTTGATTTAGATGGTTTTATTAGAAGTATTTATTAGAAGAAAGTATACTTTAGTGATTAGTTTAAGTAATAGCTGATCAAATAAGATCATATGAGTTATTAACTCTTTGGGTGCTACTACCATTACTGTTTATTATTATGAAGTGTTTAACTTGTTTCAAAGTGGAAATGTGACTTCCATAGCTCAATTTAAAATGAGGCAACTTTATTAAAGGTTTGTTCTGATATACCAAATATGATCAACCATTAGTATTGTGGATATATAAATATGATAATGTAAGTAATATTTTATTGTCCTATTGCTCAGTGTGTACTGGTGAAAATGTACATTTGCTTATAACTAAATAATTAGGAGTGAATATATAATGAACAAAATTTCTTGCTTCAAGATTTATTTTCTTTTAGATGCATTAATTTATATATTTATCTAATAATTTTTCAAGACAAATGATAATCAAGTAATTTTAGATGGAGAAAGAATGCCCAATGGTACATTGGGGGAAACAGGTAATTAATATTTCATTACATATCTAACATAGACTTACTTACAGGTGGTTGCAGACTTGACTGTCTTCTAATAATTTATCGTAACAGCGTCGTGACTGTTGTGCTCTCATTCTTTAATTATAATTTTGCTGCATTCCCATTGGAACACTGTGGTAACATATATTAACGGTGGCTCTTGTACATAAAATAAAGTAATGACTCCATTTCTGTGGGGAAAATTATTAATTTTTCAGATACATTATTTTTGAATCATTTAATTAATATTCTTTGTAGCAATTTGGTTTTTACTGTACAGAATAGAACTATAGAGTAACCTGCTTTTCAATTTCGTTTCTACCACTCAGTAGGAATGTTCTTACCCTAAGCATTTATGACTGAAAAAGAATAACAGTATCTGTAATATTCACAGTTTTTCAAGCCAATACCATATGTTTTATTTGTTTATTTACATTTGCTAGCTATACCTCAGGATAGGTCAATTGTATCCACTGTTTTGACTTAGTGCACTTTTTTTATTCCAAACCTACTGCTGAACTTAGGATTTCAACTTGAATCATTTTGAAAGTCATTTGACTTGTAGCCAAGTTTTTTTTTTCGTTACTCTTAGAGATTTAATATGCACAACAAATAATTTCGGATGCAGTGGGCACAACTTACAACCTCTTGTGTATTCAACAGTTGACTTTGCATGTTTGTGGGTGCTGAAAAAGACGATGAAATTTGTATTTTGTGTAATATTGACTGATTTTGTGAAAAGTATTTTAGCAGGAAATACTTGTATTTGAATGTGATGAATAAAAAATGATTACAAAATGTGTCTTTTGTGTTCTCTTCTCTCCAAAAGTTTTATTGTAATGCCGATGACTCGTGTCTTCCTGAAAAAAAAAAGTGTTTTACGTTACGCAACAAAAAGTTGGTAAAAGTTTTGCTTGCTTAGCCGACTTAGTATAGTACAGTATAGTATAGACAACTATGCGACAGTGGACTTAACGGGCGAACTACTCCAGTGGATATAATTGTCATACCTAAGTGCGTTCGGTAAAAAATAAAACGTTGACCGACCTGAGATACCTAGAGAAATGCATCTAAAATTACCAGATTTTGCTAAAACTGATTTTCTCTATTGTTCTCACGGCTTTGAAAGTTGTCACAGAAAGATACCCATTTATTATTATTTTTTATTTTTATTTTTTTATTTCTGCAATTTGAAACTTCTTGTCTCCTGCCTCCGATGAAAAATGGGAAAATGTCTGAACGCATTCTCGTATTGATCAGTGGAAAGAAAAGAGTTTTGCATCACAAATAAACTTCCTTAGACACACGTAACGAAGAGAATAGCATAAGTACTTGCTCAAAAATAATGAAAAAAAAAAAACAAAAAAAAAAAAAAAAAAAACGCAGAAGGGGGACGTGCTTGTTGAAGTTCATACCCGAGCCATAGTTAACAAAGTATGGCGCCAACGCATTATCCAGCTTTAGATGTAAAATCAGTGGCCATAACTTAAAACGTTATCTTTTCCCTTGAACGCTAAGACAATGGCTTAAATTATCTTTAAAATTAACCGCAATGCGTCTCAAGGTATTTTGCGAATTTAACACGCCTGTAATTTGTAACAACTATGATTGGAGTCTACCCGTGATCTCTGTGGACAGACCTAATATCTTAGACCCCATTTCCAGAGATTAGATCGATCTACTTTAGATCGCCCTAACTCCCTGGGGGTTCACGCTAAATAGCTGTCAGCCGTGTGGACACGAAAGTTAATTACCCCCTTACAGCTTGTAGTAGGCGGGACGGACATTTAAGCCGGATTATCTGACAGTAATCTAGTGAGACTCCCCGCGGGGATAGATCGATCTAAAAGCTCTGGGAATACAGCCTTAATGCCAATGCTTAACTGATGTTAACCTTATTCTATCATAGGGCCCATTCCCAATGAAACTATCGTACTGCGTAGATCGATCCAACTCTGTGGGGACTCTCGCTGAATGCAATCAGACTAAAACACGCCTCCTCCTGGCGTTGAGTAGAATGCATACAAATCTGGTGATTAAACGTTGGAAACAAGAAAAGGCGTGGCTTCCAGTTCAACTGATTGCATTCACCTTGAGTCCCCGCGGAGTTCAATCGATCTACGTAGAACGTTAGTTTAAATGGGAATGGGCCCTAATATGTAAAATGCTAATGGCGTCTTAATAACCATACTTACACTCAGTTATCAATGTTTTTTAGAATGCGGAATCATCAATTTTTATCTAATTATCATTTTTTATTAAATTATGCTCCTTGGTAGTTTGGTGTTTAAGTGAACCATGCGGGTACTTATCTATTCTTTACGGCCGCAACACCCTTAAAACTCCTTAAATTTATGTAAAAATTGAACTACCATGGGCGGGCAGATCGGAGTTGAGATATAAAGGCGGAAGCTATAGAATACTCATAACACGTTTTAAGCTATGTTTACAATGAACTAGCACGGGTGTTAAGATGTTAAGCTACCTTGATACATATATAAATTAGGTTATGATTACAGTCAATCTCAGTATGATTATAGTCAACTGACAAGATTGTAAAATGTTTTACCGCTTTGATAGTATCGAGGAGTTGTTTACTGTACGAATAATTTGCTTTAATTTGGTTTAGGATAGACAAGTGTGTTTTATTTCCGTCTTTCTGTATTAATTTTTTTTATCTTGGGAAAAATATCCTGAATACAGTTGTAGATTAAAAAATTAATCAAAACAAAAGTTACCTAGAATTTCTTTAGCATTTCATATAGCAGTAATTCAGTACTATTGGCAACTGTTTTAAATAAATGGACGCAAAATTATACGTTTGCCGCCATATACACTCTTCACCCTGATGATCCTTGACCATCGGTCAAATGTTGACTGGCGATGACTCCTTTAACGACCACTTTTGGCCAGAGACAGTGCGTGTAAGCCAGTGACCTGCCAAAACACAGATGAAACTAATAACAATTTTGTAGACGGTCACTCCAAGGTTGCTTGTCAGCCATAATGCCAAGTGGTCTGTTATCCGGAATATATTTCCCAGTTAAATTTATTAATTCTAAGGGAATTATGATTTGAGGGGGGGGGGTTCATTGTTTTCTTATTACCTTTTTCTTATTCGTAACATCGGTAATACGATACGCATCTTGTGCAAAAAAGGTGAATCCTTTCTATTTTTATTTTAATCTAATGTATATATTTTTAATATCTATTTAGCAATGTGCAAAAGAATATTAAAGAACATTTCATCGTTTTTTATAAAAGGGACAAGGAAAAAATATTTCACCGAAGAACCAAGTGCAGCAACACTAATTCTGTTTGCTCTTATCTTTAAAGCCGTGATGCTGATTTGTATAAAGCAAACAACTGGCATCACTCTTATATATATCTACATCAAACTCGATGTAGTTCGTCAAAATTGCAGTTATAGCTGTTTTTTTCTTTTTCAACGAGCCCAGGAAACTACAAAAAAGTTCATTCCGAAGGCAAACTGGTCATGTTATACTTTTGGCGCGCATACATGTATGTCGGCCTGCCATTAAAGACGGACATTCTTAATGATATCACTTTTTAATTTGAAACTGGATGTCAGTCGGACACTCAGTCTTAAAGTGTGTTGTCTTTCGGACTCTACCTCACATTTCACCGGGGCTTGTTTCACAATAGTCGAATAGCCGACCACAGTAAGTCGCTACTGCGATGTTGGACTTTTTAAATAATTTTTTAATTAATTTATTTATTGATTTTTTGAGCGATTGATTCCGCAATAGATGTGGTTATCTTGTTTGCATTGGGAATCGTCACAAGTGAGAGTAAAAACCACTGATCTAATCTCACTCACTATCTAATCTTAAGACACAGTTAAAAGACCTTGAAAAGACTCAACTTCCCTTTAAATTTCACTTGAATTTTAAAAGTCTTTGCCAAGATCGAATTTTGGTGTAAAGGAATTATGATTCGCCTAAAACTAATTTATTCAAAAATAAATGACACATAACATAGCATCCAAGTGTAGGAGCAAGTCAAGCAATTGTTCTTGAGTTGGAGAAAAGTGTTGTTTTTTTTCTCGAAGAAAATAAGATTTGATGCAAAAATTTTGCA